TGAATTGTTTTCCCCTTGAGGATTCTCATCCATGGAATCCTTCCCAAGCCCTCTCTAAGTTTATTGAAATTAGCTCTCTTAAAGTCCAAGACTCTAGTTTGACTGTATTCTATTGCTTGTATTTCCATAATGCTGAATTCCAATATTACATGATCACTTCCTCCCAAGGTTCCTGTGGCTTCAACACCTTCTATCATTTCATCTCTGTTAGTGAGAATTGGATCCAAAATGGTTAATCCCCTACTTCCCTTCTCTACTTTTTGGGAGACAAAGTTGTCTGCTAGGTTTGTCAGGAATCTGTTTGATCTTCCACTTGGTGCAGAGTTTGTCCCCCAGTTGATGTCAGGCTAGTTAAAGTCCGCCATTACTATTGTGATGTGCTTCCTACATACCTTAGTTAGCTGACAAGTGCTTGAGATTGTAACTGACAACCATATGGTAATTGGAAAACTATAGGTAAGTGGGTTGTTTACCATTTATATTAATGTTTCAGTTCCCAATTAAATCTTCTGAAAGGCTAATGTGAAAAGTTTGGGGAAAAGTTTGTTGCTTTGTTGGACTTCTCAGTCTTTAATTGAATATAAAATAGTTTAATATTGGTTGAACAGCCTTCATTATTATGTTTAATAGCCACATTTTTTCATTGATGCTCTGATTTCTTAAGTCCTTTATAACTTCTTTTAACTGTATACTATCAAATACTTTTTCATTGGACATAGGGCATATGTACAGTACATCTCATGCTCAGTCTATGATCTACTTGATTGTATGTATGTGGTCAATGGTTAAAGAGTTTTTATGGAAGCCAGTTTGCTCCTGAGACTGATACTCATTCCAGAGTTTTTCCAATCTGTTGGTTATGACATGTGTGAAAACTTTCTGGGCTGTAGGAAATAGGTAGATCAGATAGAAGTTTATAATCTCTTGAAGATCTTCTCCTTCTCCTTCTCCTTCTCCTTCTCCTTCTCCTTCTCCTTCTCCTTCTCCTTCTCCTTCTCCTTCTCCTTCTCCTTCTCCTTCTCCTTCTCCTCCTCCTCTTTTTTCAACTCTTTGGTAATATCTCCTGCATCTAAGCAGTTATTGAAGAATGTGATCACTATTTTTTGCAAGTATTTCTTCACTCATTTGTAAATTTCTGAGGTAACCGCATATACGTCTGGGGCTTTGCTTGACTTTTCTAGTCTTATTTCATGAAGAACCTCATTTGTTTCAATTTTTGGCACTGTTGAGTATCCCTCTGAATGATAACATTTTGTGATAGCTGCTTTTGAGGCAATGAAACTAGTACTCTTTTTCAATTTCTCTTCCTTTGGTTGTAGTGACATTTATCATCTTTCTTGAAAGGTTTCAAGAGCCCTCTTTTCTGTTGCATTTTTTTTCTGACACTTTATGATGCTACCTTTTGCCTTTATTGCTTTTTATGAGTTTGTATAGTCTTCCTTTACTTGTTGCCTTACTTTATGGTTTAGCTCACACAGAGTAAACCTGTCAATTATATTTTTCCCCTTTGAGTTGCTTTTCTTGTGCCATTTGTTATGTGTTTCAGCAAATGTCATAGTTAATTTTTGCAAGTTGCTCCAAGAGATATTTTAGTGTGACACTGAACCTGCTCCTAAGATTATAGGAGAGAACCTAGATTTGGCCTGGGAAGACTCATTAAATCCATCACATTGTTGTAGAAGTCATTGGTATGTCTCTCTGAAGACATTGTCCCATGTCTTTTTTTGTATGTCCTTTAGACTCTCTGTGAGTTATTTGTAGTGATTTGGGTGGATGATTCATCTTTGTGCCTTGTCAGACTTGGAGAAAGTATGGCTCTGTAGTTTCCAGCTCCAGACCTTTTTTAGTTGGAGATAAGGTACAGTCTGAGTCAGTGGTTCATACCACTTTGGCAGAACCGGTAGCTAATTTTTTGTTGCCCAGGTCCAGAATGGACTTCTAGAAGTAGCATCCATGCAGAGAACTGGTTGTTCACATATTTGAATCCCACCACTGGTCTGAGTCAAGAAACAAGGTTCAAGGCAAGAGGCACAGAGGTTGATGAAAGAGAAGAATGTTAAACAAACAAACAAAAAAAAAGGGGGGGGGAGACCACAACTGATTTTTAAAGAACCCTGGATAGAAGAGACTGTAATACTGCAAAAGAAGAAGGGAAAAAATATTCCAATCAATCGAGTTCACCAACAGTGATGCCCCAAAGATTTAGGGCATGCTAAACAATTCCTTTATAGACACACGCATATACACACACAGGCACAACCTTCTTTGGTCCTCTGTAAGTTGCCAGGCAATGTGTATTCAGACTTTTGAAAAGTCTAACTTTGCAGAGCTAATTAAAAGTCGAAACAAACAAACAACTTACCCTTTTTGTGTGATTCCTTGGCATCACTTCTCCATGAAGCTAATCATTCAGTAATATATCTGAAAATAGTCTGCAGTGACAAAATTCATGAAAGATATCAAAGACCGCAGAAAATTCTTTGCTCTCCAAAAATAGGTACCATGTTTTGCTAAATGTATGTTTTTCAGTGCATTATATAAGGATTATATATCCTGAAAAGAAAAGAAAAATCAAGGTTTTAGTAAAAGGAACAGAAATGGTTATACTTTTTGTTACAATTTCACAATAATAATGCTATCCTTTGAAAGTATTTAGTTAAGAGTATTTGGATATGGAGGATTTTCAAAAAAATATGTAACAATACCTTTTCTTATTTTCATAAACCAAAAGTATCTTTGTACTCATTTTCAACTGTTATGAATAATAAAATATTAATATTTTATACTTCTTCTTCTTCTGCCATATCTGTTATCGAACATTGGCGATCATGTTGGCAATCATGTTTTTATGAGCAGCCGCACGAAAAAGTGCTGCTGAGTTTTGTCCAAACCAGTCTCTTAGATTTTGAAGCCATGATGTTCTTCTTCTGCCTGGACCTCATTAGCCTTCAATCTTTCCCTGGAGGATTAAATGGAGTATGCCGTATTTTTCTGGGTGTCGCATCACATGTCCGAAATATTCTAACTTTCATTTTTTAATTGTTTTGATGATTTCCCTTGGCTTTCCCAGGCGGCTTATCACCTCCTCATTTCTGATCTTGTCAACCCAGCTTATATGTAACAGCTGCCTGTAAATCCACATTTCAAATGTTTCTAGTCTCTTCAGGTTGCCTTCTGTCAGAGACCAACTCTCTACTCCATAGAGCAGGATAGGAAAAATATAACATCTGAGAAGCCTGATTTTCAATCTTAGGCAGAAGACCTTTTTCATTTTGAAGAATGCTGTTCAAGCTTTCTCTATCTTTGTCTTTACTTCAGTGGTCATGTCACAGCTTTCACGTAAATTAGAACTGAGGTGCGTGATCCTTTCAACTTTTTCTAATGGTATTCTTTCCGAATTTATTGGTGGTAAATTAACGTGTTGTTTGCTGATGACCATGATCTTGGTTTTTGAGGTGTTAAGCTTCAAGCTGTATTTTTCAGATATTTCTGTGACTCTGTTGATGAGGAGCTGAAGATCTTCATGCTTACTGGCAAGCAGAACTGTATTGTCAGCATAACTTAAATTGTTGATCCAAACACCATTTACTTTGATGCCAGCATTGATGTTCTCCAGTGCTTCGTTGAAAATTGACTCAGAGTAGATATTGAACATCAGTGGAGACAGAATACATCCCTGTCTGACCCCTCTTCATATTTCTGCATCAGCTGAGTATTTTTGGCCTAGTGTCACATTTGCTACCTGATGCCAATATAGATTCTTTATGATTTGGATGTCTTTGTCATCTAGTCCCCCTTGTTTCAGGATTTCTAATAGTTTGCTGTGTCTTATTTTATCAAATGCTTTTTCAAAATCAATGAAGCACATGTAAACACTGTGATTGACATCTGTACAATGCTGTACAAGAACTTGAATGCTGAATAGTGCATCTCGTGTACCAAGATTGTTTCTGAAACCAAATTGTGTGTTACCTAGACACTCCTCAATTTTGTTGTATATTCTTGTGTGAATTATTCTCAGGAATATTTTCAGGGCATGACTCATTAAGCTTATTGTACTGCATTCGGTACACTTCTTTGCATTTATTTTTTGGGGGGGATTGTCACAAAGGTTGATTTTAGCCAATCATTTGGTATCTTTCCTGTTTCATATATTTGATTGAAGAGCTGCAGTAAAAAAAATCTTCCCATTGTCTTGTAGCAATTTTAAAATGTCTACTGGGATATCATCAGGTCCTGTGGCTTTTCTTGTTTTTGCTATTTTTATTGCATGTTCAATCATAGTGATGTTTGGTCCAGTTGTTCTACTTCCCATTCTGTATCATCTATACCATATTTTATACACATCCTGCAATATTTGCTTGCTTCCTCCCTCCCTCTCTCCCTCCCTCTCTTCCTCCCTTCCTCTCAATATTCTTATTTTCTTCCTTGAATGTTTCTCTTCTGTTATATCCCATGTTTACTTCTCTTTACAAAAAGAAGCAAAACAAAATTGAAAATATATAAAAAATGGTGTGATCTCCATTTAGGATCCATCAGATTTTCTGAAGTCCAAGAACATAGTACAATACCTTTTTTATTCTTATCCGTGAATGGAACAGGACAAAAGCAAACATGGGCAGGGGAGGGAGTACAGATATCTTGTCACTGACTTTTTTTCTTCTGTAGAAGTAAAAGGGAAGTGGTAGCTTTTTCAAACTTCTTTCATTTCCCATTTTCTAAGAAATCAAAGAAGTTGGAATGTTGAAATCCCCTGCTTCTGTTAAATCTCAAGTCTTTCAGCTATTTTGAACAGATGTCAGATATAAAGACTGCCTGCCTTCAGATCAAACTCCTGTTGCCAAGTCTCGCGATCGCTGTCCTAAACAGTTGATTATAATGTCAGCAGTCCAATTTGGAAGCTTTATAGAAACAGCTGAACACTGCAGTTTCCTGAAGTATTAAAGAGTGTTGCGTGCTCTTTCTCTCTCCTCTCCCTCCCTCTCTCTCTCCCTCTCTCCCCCCCCTCTCAGTTGGCTTCTCTATAACACGAACTGGGGTAAGAGATTCTCTATTTACATTGATCTCTATCAGCATAAGTTATAGTTAAGCTTGATATGTACAGAATTGCACTCTGTTAAAATGCTATGTTCTGTCCATGTGTTGCTCTGCTGAGAATACAAAGTTTATTTTGCAAATGGAAATGATGTAACAAGTAAGCAGGCAGGTGTATTGAACCATAGCATTATTCAATGGATTCTGGGCTAAGTAAATTAAACTGAATTTTTTAAAAATCATTTATTAATTTAACCACTTTCTGAATTTAAATTGAGGTCAAATTGCCTTGTATATAGATTTTTGGTTGACTAAAGATTTACAAAGAGAGGAAGCAATCACTGAGATCAATTTGTGTTGCTTCATTGAATGCTAATAGTGAAGTATATTCTGCTTAACTGTCATGGAGTAAGGCTATATCTTTGAAAATAAACATATCTAAACTTGTGTCTCAATTTGGATGCCTCCTGAAACAAACTTTCTAATCACTTTTAATCTTATGAGAACGAGATAGATTTGTTTTGAATTGCTTTGGGTTAACAAGAATCAATTTAAGGACATCTACATAAGTTTAAGTATATATATATATATATTTCCTGTTGCCAAATGTTTGACTTCCTGAAAAGCTAATCGGTGAAAAATTAAAACAGTTCAAAAAGTGTTACATAGACCATTTGGTATGTACAACATTATGACAGGTTTCAGTATATATAGTTAATAGCTAACATTGGCTGCCAGCCAGCACATTGCTATATGTACTTGTGTTCATATTAATAGAACAACAGCCTATGAAATGTACCATTTTGTTTGAGCACCATTTCAGATATAGAGACTGGTAAACATTTGGATTGGTTTTCTTTCTTTGTATAATCTACAAATATCTTTATAAACCAAGAAAAAGGATCTTGACATTTGATTCTTTTCCTTTTTCTTTTCTTTTCAATGCTGATTCCTTTATTCAAGCATAGAGATCTAAATATTTTGTTTGTAAATTCTGAGTTTATGCAACTAAACAACAGGCATTCTCTAGGTGTTGGAAATAGCTGTACTTAACTGAAAGTTGAGTTTTCTGAGAATGGAATGTTTTGTTTTTGTTTCAAGATGCATGAAATATAGGTTCAGTACTCCACATATTTACTTGTAAATAATTCCTTTGAAATCTGTATGGTTTAAATATAATGTAATGCAGAAAAGATAAAGACCAGTATTTCAACATGTTTCCCCTCACTTTCTTAAGTAAGTTAAATCAATTTGATTAATGTCTTATAGGATGAAACAGTTTGTAATTAAAAGTGTAGTTTAGATTTCAATCCAACTCACATTATATACTTAGTAAGACCTGCTTCAAAGTAGACATATTCAGGCTCATCTCATGTTTTTCCTTTCCAGTTTTTATTACAAGGGAGAAAATGATTTACACTTTCAATAAATCTAAGCATTTACAGCTCAAATCAATATCTTTCAGTTGTGAAAATAAGAGCTTGTGTAGTTTACTATAACACTGAACTCAATTTAGTATTGAAATATGTAGCCTTGATTTCTGGTTGTTTTTCTTTTTGCATTATTTGTAGCATATCTAAGAATAATTACTATCAAAATGCAAAGGGATGTACTTCTAAATAGATATAAATAGGACTGTGTTTTAACTTTTTTTAAAAAAAAATATGTATTCTTTTTTCTTTTTTTGATAACGTCATTCCCCCACCCAGTTTTTATTGTTATCTAAATGCTTAGCACAATTTTTCTCAATCTGGGCAATTTGAAGATATGTGGACCTCATCTCCCAGAATTCCAACATGGGAATTGAAGACTTGAATTCTGAGAATTGAGTGAATTCTTGAATTGAAGAATTCTGGAAGTTGTCCACACATTTTCAAGGTGTTCACACATTTTAAATTTCCCAGGTTGAGAAATTTTGGTTTAGTAGTTCTCCAAACGAATGCTCTAACTGTCATCTCTACATGCAATGATTGGGAAAATGATGAAATATTGTCCTATTTAACAGATGTGCATCTAAGAAAAAAAAAGAAGTCATTCTTTAGATGTCACTGGATTATTCCCCAGTAACTCCTCCCACTGAATATCTATGGCTATCTATAATTGAAAGGAGCTATGTACAGCTATACTGTACATATAAGAGAGAAATAAAAATACTGAAATTGATTGGTAATATAGTGACTAGCAAATATAGGATCTCAGCAAAAGCTTTCATATAATTTAATCTTGAACATACAGTTATTTATAAACTTGCCACTCCATATCAATTGTTCAGCCCTGCTCAGTATACTAAACCAGGAATCAACTCCATATAAAGGCTAAGACCATTTTTATTGAGATTTGCTATAATAATAGAATGTTGCAAGTCTGATTACTGCAAGTCTATACTTCCTCTTTCTTTATATACTCTAGTGAATTAGTAAACTGCAAACCCAAACCTCTTCCCAATGTTATCTGATTGTTCTAGACTTTAAAAATGTTCTAGACTTTAAAAATGTTCTAGACTTTTGCCTAAGTTACAGTTTCTGCACATTTCCATCAAGATCAGCTTCCTTACTCTCTACCTGATAGTGACTTGGAGTTCTCTAGCTAATGAAAGTTGACATAGTCTTTGTCTGGACTTGTAAATAAATTCCATCTTCCTCCTTATCGTAAAGAACACACAAAGTCTCATATCAGCTTAATCTCTTTGTCCAACTGCATGATCAACAGTGGCAACTTTTTAGGACCTCAGATAATATTCCTTCCTGGTATCTACTGAAATGTGCTTTACCACTGAATCAGGATTAGAATCAGGATTTTTTTTTTTAATGATGGTGTATTTATCATGGTTACTTGAGATGCCTTAAACATATTCTTTGAAATGGAAAAGGCAGGATAGACTATTAAAAATCCATACATGCACATGGCTTCTTTCCCAGTCTTGAAAATAAACTGTGGTTTCATTAGTCAGAGCTGTTGATTTTGCAGAGCTCAAGATATAAGTAATCATGTATTAAGCAAGTTTCCAGACATTGGAATTCCTTCATGTTTGTACATGGGTCACTCTTACATTTATTAAATAGCATGGCAAAAGAAAAACAAAATGTCTTTGCATTCAATAATGAGAAAAGAACCTTGGATATCATTTTTGTATCTGACATTCTTGAAATAGATGTTTGACTCCATCTCCAGTGAAAAAACATTTTAAAAGGATGGCAATGTTTATTCAGTTACTGCTGAATAATTTACAAAATATACAACACAAAAATCAAATTAAATAGATGAGTTAGAATACAATCATGGTAAGGAATTTCTATTGTAAAATAATAACAAAATATGCAAATACAATAATGTGTATTAATATACTGTGCAAGTATATGTCTATAGTCGGTGGTGTAAAAATGCACATCACCTAAATAAAATAAGTAGGATGATTGCAGAATTTGCATAACAAATCAGAATTCATACATAAATTATAAGTGGTTATGCCTGGCACCAGTAATGACTTATTTTCATTGCTGCAACACAAAAATTGGCTATTGAAAAAATAACGAAGGGAAAGTTCATTCACATAGAGGTTGTCTGGCCTTCTTGGCAATTTACATCATCATCATCATCATCATCATCATCATCATCATCATCATCATCATCATTTTAGCCATTGTCTATCCACTGTAGGAAGAAGGCCTCTTCCGCACATTTCCAACCAATACAATCCTGAGCTTTCTTTTGCCAAATATCAATAGACCTAATATCCCTGTAAAAATTTACAGTGTAATTATACATGATAAATGGATGCAATCTTTTTCTCACTACGTAGCAGCTGCACTTGGTAGATGGGGTCTTGAGGAAAAGCCTTACAGCAATACAGATGGTAAGATATTATATCTAGTTTTAAAAAAATAATTTTCCACCTCAGGGAAAATTAGATCTGTTAGATATTTTGCTGGTTCCCAAGAGCCCTTGTTTATCCAATTTCTGCCATATGGGGCAACCTATCATCATCTGCTTTATCCTTTGGTGGGCAGTTATTTGATTTGGCCAAACCTTGGAGAAATTAGGAATGGTACAGAAAGCCTGTCACTTCTGTAGTCTTGCTTCCTGGCAAGAGGCATCCATGTTCCTCAAGTTGAAATGAAGTTTGAGGACTGAGTCCATTCAAATCACATTTAAGTATTTCTCAGATTCCCTAGAGCAGTTTTATTATACACCAGACTGAAGATAACATAGAATATAGAATAATAGTATTGGAAGGGACATTGAGGGTCTTTTAGTCCAACCCTATGCTCATGCAGGAGACTCTATATCATTTCATACAAATGATTGTCCAATCTCTTTTTGAAATCCTTTAGTGATGGAGCACCCACAATTTCTGTAGGCATGCTGTTTCATTGGTTAATTGCTCTTACCTTTAGGAAATTTCTCCTTAGTTCTCAGTTGCTTCTCTCCTTGGTTAGCTTCCAACCATTGTTTCTTGTCTCGCCTTTGGAAAATAGTTTTGTTTTTGTAGGATCCCCTCAAATATTGGAACAATGCTATCATGTCCCCCCTAGTCTTTCTTTTCATTATACTAGACATATCCAATTTCTGTCATCATTCTTTGTACATTTTAGCCTCCAGCCCCTAATCATTTTTGTTGCTCTTCTCTGCACTCATTCCAGAGTCTCAACATCCTCTTTGTATTGTGGTGACCAGAACTGGATGCAGTATTCCAAGTGTGGTCTTACTAAGACTGTGTAAAACAGTACTACAACTTTCCATGATCATGATTCTATCCCTCTATTAAAGCATAACATTCATCCATGCACATGTTGTTCTGTAAGATCCTCAATGAGTAAAGTTGAAAGATAAAATTTCATATTTCTTTACGGAATGCAGAACATTTACTGTTCCTTTCAGTTCCTTTCCTCAATACTTGGCTCCTATAGTGTGGCTTTTCATTTGCTCTTGCATTCAACTGAATCAGTGAAATATTGTCTCTGATAATCCTTCTCTGTCCTTCACTTCCTTTGATACTGTCATACACTTAGGAAGCACTTAAAGGAAAAACATTCCTATTTTCTACTCTCAGCTTTCAGAATCTTAGCTGGCAATGAGCAAAACAGCCCTTCAAGAGTTCAACAGCTGTATTTTCCATAGAAATTAACTCTGTTCCTTTTAAGGATAGAAGCATTACTCAAATGACTTGAGAACAGATTGTTTAAAATGACAGTAATGAGGACATAGAATACTTTTTTTCCCTTTCCCATATCTTTCTTTCAAGAGGAAATTACTCAAAATGTCCAAGTTACTGCATATTATTATGGAGCTTTTCCCCTTTTTATATTTATTATGAATATAAAAATATGACTTTTTTTACTATTGTTCAAGTATTGATTTCCAAACTAAAATTTGATACATTACTAAGCACAGTCAATAGGAAGTACATATTCATGTATATACATTTACATCTACACAAAAACACACATACAGAGACAACCATTCCTAGGCAAACAAGTTGCTGTATAGACCTTGTTTTTTCTGTCTGTTCTGTTCTGCATAACCTTGGCCTCATAACATGTCCATGATGATTCAACCAATGATTTCACCTTTTCTAAAGTCACTTGTTTCAACAAAGTTCTCCTGTACCAATCCTGAATCCTTTCCAATCTACCGCTATTTTTATTAATTAAATTTCATAGAATCATAGAATTATAGGGCTGAAAGGGACCTTGGAGTCCAACCCACTGCCCAAAGCAGGAGTCCTTATACCATCCCTATTATCTTTTCTCCACTTCCATCTGGTTAATTAAATTGGGTCAGTTTCCCAACTGGTCTGTCTTTGAGGTGCATTTACTTTGAGTACAGCTTCCAGTTAATCTTTTGAGGCTGTACAACACAGCTCCCCAATGCAGTGGCTCACTGCATTTCTGCATCTGACAGTTCTGCTTAAACTCTTTCTTTTTTCTTTTATTTCAGAATTCATGATGCATACCAATGGGATGTACAGCTTCACAAAAGTTACCATGTGGCTTCTGCTGTTCTGTATGTTTGTCAAGAAGGTGTTCCCTGCTGGAAATGACACCATCATTGCTACTTCGAATGGAATGGTCAAAGGTATTCATTTATCTGTGCTTGGTGGAACAGTAGCTGCATTTCTTGGGATTCCTTTTGCAACACCACCAATTGGTAGTCTGCGTTTCAAAAAGCCACAACCTCGAGAACAATGGAAAGGAACTTGGGATGCCACTAAGTATCCCAATTCTTGTTTTCAACTCCCAGATAATACTTTCCCTGGCTTTGAAGGATCAGAGATGTGGAATCCAAACACAAAGCTTAGTGAAGACTGCCTTTATCTCAATGTTTGGGTTCCTTCTCCCAAGCCTAAAAATGCATCAGTCATGGTATGGATTTATGGAGGTGGCTTCCACAGTGGGACATCTTCACTCTCTGTTTATGATGGCAAGTTTCTAGCTCGAGTAGAAAGAGTCATTGTTGTGTCAATGAACTATAGATTAGGGCCTTTTGGATTCTTGGCTTTGCCAGGAAATAAAGATGCACCAGGAAACGTAGGTTTGTTTGATCAAAGACTAGCACTTCAATGGATCCATGACAACATAGGAGCCTTTGGAGGTAATTCTAAAAGTGTGACCTTGTTTGGAGAAAGTGCTGGAGCAGGGTCTGTAAGCTTCCATCTTCTTTCTCCTCAAAGCTATCCTCTCTTCACTAGGGCCATCATGCAAAGTGGATCTGGGAATGCTCCTTGGGGTACAATTTTACCATCTGAAGCAAGAAGAAGAACTCTAATTCTAGCTGAACTCCTCCACTGTACTGGCAAAAATGAAACTGAGATCATTTTTTGTCTTCAAAACAAAGATCCTGAAATTATATTGGAGAAAGGAGGAGATATTTTAATATACACCGGTCTCATAAATCTGCATTTTTGTCCCATAGTTGATGGTGACTTTCTTGCTGATATGCCAGAAATATTGCTGAAAAATGGACACTTTAAACAAACACAGATCTTGATAGGAGTAAACAAAGATGAGGGTACAACTATTCTTGTGTATGGTGCTCCAGGCTTCAGCAAAGATAACAACAGTGTTATCAATGAAACAGAATTCCAGGCAGGTTTGAAAGTTGCCTTTCCACAATTAAATGAAATTGGATTGGAATCTATTGCTTTTCACTACACAGACTGGGAAGATGAGAAGAATATTTTCAATTATCGTGATGCCATGGATGATATCGTTGGGGATTACTATTTCATATGCCCTGCAGTAGAGTTCATAAAACAGTTTGCCTTGGCAGGGAACAATGCTTTTTTTTACTTCTTCGAGCACAGATCTTCAAAACTTGCTTGGCCAGACTGGATGGGAGTTCCACATGGTTATGAAATTGAGTTTGTATTTGGATTACCTCTAGAGCGAAGAGTTAATTATACTAAAGCAGAGGAAGCACTGAGCAGATCTATACTGAAGTACTGGGCAAATTTTGCAAAAACTGGGTAAGGGCTGTTTTATTTTACAATATGGCAACTTTTCTTGTTATTTCTCTTCAGACATTGAAAGTATTTTTTCAGTGCCTGCTTATAAGAATGGCATCTGGCTATTCCTGCTCTGTTATTGATATTAATGCAATTGTTCACAGATATTGGCAATGATGTTAAAAATAATATGGGATGCTGATGTTGACATCAGTAATAGAGTATAATATTTGCAATGGAAAATCTGCTAGTTATTTCACTAGACAAGATACTTCCCAATACTTTCAAAAATTGACAATGTTGGATTATGCTTTGGTATTATTAGTCATTCACTATCTTTCCAGAGAACTGAACCTTCATTTGTCATCACAACAGCTGGTGCATTTGAAGGCCAGTGTTTCAAGTTGCAAAGTATGACATTCCATGTATCCTCAGCTTTTCTACCGTCATGTTCTTCAACATACAAAGAGGAAAATTTGAAAGGCAAGGAATAATTGTACAAAATGGCCTTTAGCACTAGAACATTAAATTAATCTACATTAAACATAAGAAAGAAACTATAAGAAAGTAGAAAACCCATGCATGTACTGTCTTTTTGCCTGTACATCCATTCACACATCCACATATATTTTGTTACTACATGAGTGTAGTAACAAAGATTGGATCGTGGTGAATATATGCCTTTAAGAGGTAATTTGAGAAACAGCCAATGATCAGTGAATGTATTCCTGAATTTATTACAACAAAGATCTCCTGACCATTTTCTCAATCAGTATGTTATTGATAGTCTTATCATTAATTTGTCTTAAGGTTACCTTTTTGCATGGTACAGAAATGCCAATCCAAATTTCAGAGTAAACATTTTTAAAAGATAGTCCAGAAGCATCTATGGTAGGAGTGAAATTTATCTAGGTCAATCATATGCAACAAATAAAATTGCTTAGCATTTTTCCCCTTTTATTTCCTATATAAAAATTCATGCAGAGTAGATACATTCATCTAGAAGCTGACATATCAATCAACTTCGATTTTCTTAAGTTTTTTTCCCCCTATTTCCATGTCAGTTTATAGGCTCTCTTTGAAAAGGAAATTAGAAAAAGCAAAATATGATTTCTGAAATTCTTTCCAACTCCTTTATAAACAGTGGCCATAATATGCATTTCGTGTTTGCACATACACCTATATAAAGTATGTATGTGTATGTGTGCATGTGTGCATGAGAAAGAAAAAAAAAGGGAGAGGGAGGGGGAACGAAAGAAGGAGGGAGGGAGGAAAGATATTTTAATCATGGTAGATTCATATATGTTGATCAGTCTCTCTGTGTTACTGCTCTTACTTCATGTTGTATCTGTTTATATTGCACTGGGAAGCACAGCATGGCTGTATATACTCAGTACTGAGTCATATGACGAGAAGAAGAATGGGGCTGTCCCTTCCATTGGGATGCATTGAGAAATTTATCAGAAATCTTTTTTTTCTCCTATAGTCCCAGCTGAATACAGCTCATTTTTAAATCTGGCCTTTCTTTTGCCAGTCTCTCTTCCATGCACCCTAGAAATCTGGAATAGTTTTCAGAGATGGAGTAGCAGTTCCCCATTTGAAACAATCTCAGAATTGACTTTTTGATTGACTGATATCGCTTTCATCTGCTAATGTTGTAGAACAAGACAGATATCCATTCAGTTGGAATCCTAAAATATAGATCCCAGATCTTTTTTTCTGTTGCCCTGAGCAACCCTGAGAGAGAGAGAGAGAGAAAAACCATGTATTTTTTTTTTTTAAAAAAAAAACTGATGGAAGATATAGGGATGAAAAGGAAGGGGGAAAAAACCTCTCTGGTTGAAAAAAACTTTCCAGTAAAAGTCATGTAGTTCCAGTAATTGGACAGGAAGTATTTTTTCCTGTTTCAGTATACAAAATAACAGAGTTGGAAGGAATCTTGGAGGTCACCTAGTCCAACCCCCTGCTCAAGTAGAAGACCCTATACCAGACATGTCAAACTCGTGACGTCGCACAATGTATCGGAGCTTTTTTGTCATTGCCGGCAATGGGGTGGGCATGGCTCCGGTATGATAAAACCGGCCCATGGGCCGGCAGTTTGACACCCCTGCCCTATACCATTGCAGACATGTGCAGTCTTGGTTTTAAAAACATACACAATATTCATAGCAAGAAAGACTATCTAAAAATGCAGCCCTCATCAATCATCTGATTTGTATGATTCCAGATAATAAAAGAAATACATGATCTCCAACATATATGTAAATAAATATGAGAAATGTGAAAATCATCCCATTAACTAAAATGAAATCTAATTTGGATCAAAGATAAAATAGTGTTCTATTTGATATTAATGGCCAAGGTAAACCAAGGTTATTCTGAGAATGACTTGAATTTTCATTCCAACTGCTAGGCAATTCAAACCAGTTAATAACTGTAAAAATTAAATGGGGAGAGAGTTGGAAGAGAAAAATAATTCAGCCAGTGGGAGGCTTGGTAGAGCTTGGAAATCTCAGATATCTTACACCTGAGTTTTATGTAAAAATGCAAGGAAAATAAAGAACAGTAGTATTTCAATTGTAAGTCAGTCACTAAACCACTTCATTTGTTTTCTGCTATACATTTTGCTGCAAATCTTATTTTTAGCTTTACTTTTTGCAGGCTGAATACACTTTGGCCAAGAACAGACTCCCCACACAAAGACATTTCAAAAACAACACATAAATTGTCTCACCCATGAAGTCAATCCAATTCTTTTTGAATTATAGTTAAATTAGTTAACAGGTAGTATTGATTTCAAGCAAACACTGAGAAACTGCATTGTCTATGAACATTGAAAAATCATAACTATTTATGGCAAATCCCACTTATGGATACAAAGAAGAGGTTGTTTGCATCTCCTGAACCATTTACTTATGACTTATTACTTATCAAAACAAGTTTTAATAAGTAACATTTATTATTGTTTGAACGTAATTCCCCAAACGTTGCTGCTATGATTAAGTCTGAAATCTTCATAAAACAGTGTGATTTTTAAATGTTGCTCTATTTATTTTACTTAGGAAAACTATGTCTTAACATCATCTACTATCTTTAGCTCAAAAAATTAACCTGATCTGTCTTGTGATGCTGTAACATATCCAAATTCTTGAGCGTAAATCAGGAGAAAAAATTGAGTCCTGTTTTTCCATTGTTTTGCTATGAGAAACTCATAAACACTCAGGGAATGAGTTTTTTCTAATGGTATGGAATGTTCAAGATTCATTATAAACATTATTCATTATAAACCATTATAAATGAAAATGCCAGTTTTCATTGAACTGAGCCCAGAAAGTTTGAAGTATATACCCTTAAAATCTGTTAAACTCCCTTTTTTGACCTTTTTTGCATCAGAAAAGAGAAATGCTATACTGTCAATTATTGGAGAGATCATCAAACAAATTAAAACATTGATAATGCAACTTCTAAAAATTGGAATATGCTGAGCACATAGTTAAACTCCCTGAACCTCTTTCTATCCTACTCCTGAAACTTTTGCCATCTGACAAAATTTTGTTTGATGACAAGGTTTTTTCTGGTTTGAGATTCTTCTTTTCCTTCTTCTCAAGGAGTTTAAAATTGCTATGAAGCATGAAGAAATAATTTTATTTTTAAACATTTGTTCACTTATTTATGACTTGCTTATTTGTTTGCTTATTTTGCTGATGCAGTTCTTCCCATCAAACACATTGTAATTTGTTTATTCATTTACAACTGTTGTATGCTACTCCAATCTCATGACTATAGGCTGTTTGCAGTGTAAATATTTCTTTTAGAAATAGTAATAAAAAGCACCAACAGCAACACAAACAAATAGTTGTGCACCCAAATTAATTCTCAGAGGTAGAAGTTAAGCAGGATTTTGAATGAATAAGCTCGAGAAACACATCCCACTTTAAGAGAGTTTGAAAACAGCATGTCACATCATTTTATTCCATTCAGCATTTGGGATTTATGCCATGAGTAAATAAATAGTACTTCTTACATTTATTTTCCAATTTATATAGCTAAAATAAACTAAGGCAGGATGATTCACTCACAAAATAATTGCTTTTCCTTTAAGGCGAGTATTTAATAACACTATCATATATGTGTGAGACCAGAGGTCCCCATCCCCCGGTCTGTGGACCAGTACTGGGCCACTGCATGCCAGCAACCGGTCTGCACAAACAAGGAAAGCCCCATCCACAGGATGCAGGCAGCACACAAAACCATGCCCCTTCTGGTCAACTGAAAAACCTCTCTCCCTGTAACTGGTCCCTGGTGCCCAAAAGGTTGGGGACCTTTGTGTTAGACTATGTGTTAGACTAGGGGTGTCAAACTGGCAGCCTGATAGCCAGATGCATCACATGCAAGGCCACGCCCACCTTAGCTCTGCAAAGGTGAAAACGTTGCGATATGTCACGATACATCATGTGACGTGATCGAGTTTGACACCCATGTGTTAGACTTTTCTTTTAGTTTTGAAGTTGACATTATCTTTCTCAATGTTTGAACTGATTGAACATTGTACACCTCATTTAAGAAGAAGAGCATGTCACCTTAATTGACTATTTTGCTTCATATGTACTTCCCACCCAGACAAGACTATTCTAGAGAAGCAAGGGAACAGAATCAGCATAGCTGCTCAAGGTCTGGAAATAATCATTGCGGCTCTGCTTCTATTGAAAGCATTATTCTACTCACCACAACAAAGCTTTTCATAGCCCTTGGCAAGTTTTGTTAAATATCTTCTTTGTCCTACAAGACTTTTTTTCCCCAAATGAGTGAGCATACAATGTCAACATCAAATGATTGATGCAATTTATGATGATGATAATAATAATGGTGATAATAGGGAGTATAAAATAGACACATTGTATATAAGAAGCCAATCCAAATGGTTCACAAAGTAAGGTTCAACTATGGCAATGAAAAAATGTTCTCTATCAAACTTGAATGACCTTTCCAAAATTCTCTGTCTCTAAAATGTATAATAATAT